CCCCAAAACCCCAAAACCCCAAAACCCCATAACTCCAAATACATTATGCAAAATTAAAATTTGTCTTAGAATTTATTAATCATATCAATAAAATCTATAATAAATTAGTAATGGCTAAAAATTTATCTCATTTTAGTAAAATTTAATCAAAGCTTTAATTTCAAACTATATTAGGAAGATAAATAGGCAATATAGCTTAATGGAGTAAAGAAAGAACATTGATTGACTTTCACAAAAGAGGTATTTTCAAAAGTGCTCTTGATTTTCTCTCAAAACCTAAATTAGAATCATCGAAATCGATATCAACATCTAGGAAATTAAATCAAAAACTTCCAGACTTACCCAAACTATATTCAAATGTCTGTTTGGATGCTCCTTAGGAATACTCGGACTATGAAAATGCAGAGATTGAGTTTGGCTTTCAAGATGATTACGAAGTTTGTTCTAAACTTGGAAGGGGAAGGTATTCTGAAGTGTTTAAAGGAGTAAATCTTTTGAATAATGCAGAATGTGTTATAAAGATATTGAAGCCAGGCAAGTATTTCCTTGTTAAAATGTTTATCATTGATATAGTTAAGAGAGCAAAGATAAAAAGAGAAATAAAGGTGCTGGAAACATTAAAGGGTCATTCAAACATCATTGAATTAGTCGATTATGTAGTTGATCCCTCAACTAAAACACCTTCTCTAGTACAATTTCTTAGCATAACTTCATTTTATCAGGTTTTATCTTATGTCGAAGCTCTAGATTTTAGAGAACTTTATCCGATATTAACAAAAGAGGATATTAAAATCTACATATATTAAATTCTCTAAGGTCTTGATTACGCTCATTCAAAAGGAATAATTCATAGAGACATTAAGCCTGGTAATGTTCTGATTAATCATAAAGAGAAGAAATTAAAAATTGCTGATTGGGGGTTAGCAGATTTTTACACTCCTCATAAATCATATAATGTGAGAGTTGCCTCTCGATATTTCAAAGCTCCAGAACTTTTGATTGGACTTAATGAGTATGATTATTAGTTAGATGTTTGGAGTGTTGGATGTATGCTAGCTGGAATGGTCTTTGCAAGAGAACCATTCTTTAAAGGAGCTGACAACGACGACTAATTAGTCAAAATTGCAAAAGTAATGGGCACCTAACCCATTTATAATTACTGTAATAAATTTGGCATCGAATTGGGGTCTTACTTTGACGAAAATCTTCAGAAGTAATTTTTCATTAATCCTAATAAGCCTTATAGTTTCAAAACTAAACCGTGGGATCGTTTTGTAAATAATATAAATGAGGAATTAATTGATGTAAAAGTTTTCGATTTGCTTGATAAATTGCTTGTTATCGATCATACTGATAGAATTACAGCCTCGGAAGCCCTTTAGCATCCATATTTCTCAACAATTAGGTATAAAATGATCTGATTTAATTTTATACATACACATTTGTAATTTTAGTAGGCTTTAAAGTTATATTGAGGGGTTTTGGGGTTTTGGGGGCATAACAACTAAGGAAGGCCTAATAAAAATGATCACGAGTACGATTTTGATGATA